CCAGGGCTCAATTCAAACATTACCTCTAGGGAGAGACCTTGCCAGGTGACCCAGGCCAAAGTGCCTACTCTTTCCAGCCACAAGGTGCTAACTGTGGTAGGGGCCTGAACTCTGCAAAGGTATAGGCGTTGTTAAAAGTACATATATAAATCCAGCCATTGTCCCCTAGTTTGCTTTCAGGAGTCACACAGCTGATGGTAATAGAGATTCTTCTCAAATTACTCCCAGAAATAACATCAGCCTTGTGAAACCTAAGGCTAGTTTTTGAGATATCTCCCAGGGCCTGCATTCCAGTGGACTGTGGCTGACCCACCCAGACCGGTGGCCATCCCAAGGAGCTAACTCAACTGGTCTGGCAACCCCCACCCCAGAACTGACTCAGCACAAGAAGACAATTTCTACACCTCTATGGTTCCACCCCGAAACCAGCCAATCAGCAGACTCAATTGCCTAGCCCTTTGCCCACCATACCATCTTTAAAAATCTTTTCTCCCAAATTCTTAGGGAGACAATTTTGAAAACTTCCTCCCATCTCCTCGCATGATGCCTATGATATTAAACTCTTTCTCTGTTGTAAATCCTGCTGTCTCCGTGTACTGGCTTCCTCTTGAGCAGTGGCAATGAACCTAGCTAGGCTGTAACACTGGTACTGCTCTACCCTAACATGCTCACTATCTGAAATTGCCTTGTTTACTTGTTTATTTCCCCACCTCACTCCCTCTGCATCATAAGTCCCACGAGAGCACAGATCTTGTTGTTTCTGTTCCTTGGCACCTAGCCTGGCGTCTGGCACATAGTAGACATCCGCTAAATAGTTACTGAATGAATAAATTGAAAGTGGTGCCTCATCAGAAATTTGGGTTTTTGTTTGCAGGGTTCTGGGAAAGGAGAATAAAGGACTTTTACGTGCATCTCAATGAAATGTAAAATTCCTTATTCCTCCTCTCCACTTCCTGAATCCTCTCCCAAATGTTCTCCTTTAAAAAATGTATATAATGCACAGAAGAATGCTATGCATGATTTTTCAAAATTCTAGAAAAGGAAAGTATAATGACTATGTCTTAAATTACCTCTCCAGAGAATTTCAGGTGGTTCAATATATTTCACTATAAATTCCCTCATATGGCATTCTTTTCTTTATCTTAATAAACATAGCTAAAAATATATCATGAAAATATGTGTAATAAAATATAACATATTTTAATTGTATTATATATTTATATGTATTGTTATATATGAATACATGTTGCATATTTATTATATTTATAAAAATATAAATGATTTACAATATTAATTTAAAATATTTATATTTACATAAATATAAAATCTATATAAGTATGTATATGTATAACCTTTATATAAAATATAGTAAGAACAACCAAAAACATTTGATCTTTTAAGTATTTGTTTTTCCTTAAAGATTTCCTTTTTTATGAAAAAAGCCGTAATTTATATCGGAGTGGTACAAAAGTATATATCAAAGAAAATATAAATGTCAAAAACACTAAAATACCTCACTGGAATTAAATAAAGCCTATTGGTTTTAAAAAAAATCTCAAACATGAATAAAATGAAGTCAAAGAGATAAAACAGAACTTCATCTTCATGTACTTCATTCACATGTTCCTTATTGTCCGAAGAGAATATTCAGCCTCGCCAAGGCAGATGTCGACATGGATGTGCTTTTTCATCCAAGATTCTTATAAATAATAATTTTAAAGAAAAGGGAGCTCTTCTATGAAATATGTAAAACACCCTTTGAGTCTTGTCTTCCCCGTCCTGTCTCCCCTTCCCTCACACACACGCACACACACACAGAGGTGTACACATGCCTGCACATGCAGACACATGCATACACACGTGGGCACACACACACGTTGCCCACTAATGACTGAAGGGCACTCATTAACCACCTGCAGGTGCACTGACTTAGGCACATCAGGTTTTACCCAGCATTCTGCACAGGAGTGAAATTATATTCACCCACATACCAATAAGGAGGTCTGCTAGGAATCTTTTAAAAACCGGGTGCTTAATTTATATGAGACGGTGTCTAGACATTTATTTTCTGGAAATATTTAACTTGGATAAGACACGTGGCCCCCAAGATGAATGCAGGATTGAAGTATTTCACTTGAAAATTTGTGCAAGGAAACGTCTGGTTGAGTGCAATGAGGTTAAACATCAAAATATTTTCCTAGGATGGAAAGGTCATCCTGTTTGCTATGTGCTAGGGCATGGCATTTCAATACTCCTACTTTCCTAAGCAGCAACTGCATTTGTTATACCTACATTTCCATAGTTATATGTTCATTTACATAAATCTACATGTGAATACTACAACTTAGATGCTTATTGGGGGAGAAATACCAGAGATAGAAATTCTAGAGATTATATACAATGGGAGCTTTATTTGACTTTGAATTAGAAGTTTTTGCCTCAACATCCTCGACCATAAGGGGATGGCAAATTTTCTGTAAAGAGCCAATGTAATAAATATTTTAGGCTTTGCAGGCCATGCAGTGTGTCACAACTACTCAACTCTGTCGTTGTAGTATGGAAGAGCCAACGACAATACATACACTAGCGGATATGGCTATATTTCAACAAATTTTATTCACAAAAACAGGTATTTGCCAACCCCTGCTTAGACCAGTAGCTTTGGAATCATTTAAACGGTGACTCATAATAAGAAATAAATTTTACACCACCACTCAGAACAAACATATGTGTATGTGTGTACTCACAAAACAATACCTACCTTTATAATGAGCATACGTGCTGATATTTTTTACTCTATCTAATTCGATTCTAAATCACTTTTTTAAATGCTGACAGCCACCATCAAAATTGATTTCAAAACCCACTAATGGGTCATAACCCCAGTGTGCAGAACACTGTACTAGGCTAACTCTACGCTTGTGTTTAAAGTGAATAGCGTGCAAATAGCTAGAAGCAGACAAAGAATCACTGTCCTTCCGTTAATGAATGGGAATGCTTGCCTTTAGTCTGAAGCCTCTGCTGCCTGCCTGGGTTTTCACATTTCTGGAATCTGATAAAGTTGTGACCCAATAACCAGAAAGAACGTGCATTGCTGAGAATAATGAGTATAAAAGGTCTGGGTAAAAGCCAGAGGACAGGAAGCTGGATGCTTATCTTTTTCAAAGGCAAAGGGAGAGACAGGATCTTTTCTCTTTAGAATGAGCCTAGTGGAGCTGGAAGAAATCTTTCTGTAAGCAGAGCCCCAGTGAGCAAGAAAACAAGGAAGAAGGACGTTTCTTTTACAATGGATTGAGCCCCCGAGTAAGAATCAGATGTCTCTGTCCTGGTCCTGCAGTGGTCACTGTCTAGCTGATGGCCCTGGCAGGACACTCCTCTGTCTGGGCCTCCTTCTTTCTTGCTGGCTATGTGAACTTAGGCAAGTTTCTGCACCTCTCTGAGCCTCAGATTCCTCAGCTGGAAAGTAGGATGATGATGTTACCGACCTCAGAGGATGGTGGTGAGGAGTACACAAGTTAATGGTATACGGAAAGCACTTAACACGTGCCTAGCACAAAGTCAGCACTGGATGCATAATACCTGCTAGTAGATATATAACACTTGATATATAATATTACTATTGCCACCATCTGTTTATTTCGAAAAGCTTCAAATAGAAAAATTGCAACAGAAAAGTTGAAAAAATAATCCAAGTAACTCCTATTTTTCCTAAACTTAGATTGACCAACTGTTAGTAGTTTGCCACATTTGCATGCATTCCCTTTCTCTCTCTCCCTCCCCCTCTGTCACACACACACAATATCTCTCTATCAGTCTATCTATACCTATATCAATGTATATTCACTTATATATTTTTGTGAACCATTTAAGAATAATTTGCCAACATCAAAGCACTGCATTCCTATGTGACATACATCTGCTATCTCTCACAAACAATTATGTTCTTCTATGTGATATCAGATGCAAGATATCTATGCACCATATCTATGTGGTAACAGATGCAAGAAATTTAGTTTTATAAAAATATGATCTATTGTGCAGTCCATATTCGCAGTTCCCCAATAATGTCCAGAATCCAAGCAAGTATTATGCGCTGCTTTTGGTTGCCAGGTCTCTTTAGTTTCATCTCGCACAGAACACTTCTCCTGCTTTTTATTTCCTTTCTTTCATGGTATTGAAGAGTTCAAGACAGTTGTCTTATTATGTGTATTTTGGCTCTAATGAATGAGTAAATGTGTGGACTTTTGTTGGAAACCATAATTCTCGCTGTAAATGATGGGAGATACAAACAAGAATGAGGAAAGCGAGCAAGGACACCATGGCATTAGGTTTGTATCAGAGGCATCAGCCTCAGAGTTAATCGGGATTCTTCAGTTCAACAGGACCAATAGGATGTGTGTATGTATAGAGAGATTCATTCAAGGAATTCGCTCACAGGATTATGAACACTGCCAAGTCCAAAATCTGCAAGGTGGCTGGAGGTCTGGAGAAGAGCCATCATTGCTGAGCTTCAAGTCCAAGTCCTGGGCGGTCACTAGAGAGCTCCCTCTTGCTTGGGGGAGGCCAGTCTTTTGTGCTCTTCAGGTCTTCAACTGATTTGATGTGGTCCATTCACATCCTGGAGGGTCATCTGCTCTGCCCAAGTCCACTGATTTAAATGTTAATCTCATCCAAAACATCCTCACAGAAATATCCAGAATAGTGTTTGACCAAATATTTGGGCATTATTGACACATAAAATTAATCATTGAGACTCTAAGAGAGAGAGGGAGAATGAGAGAGACACACACACACACATACATTGATTTATTTTTCTACACTAAAAGGGCCAGAAGCAATGATACCCCAGTAGCAGAGAGCACACATAGTACTCAAATCTTCATTTCTAAACACCATTCTCCATTAAAAAGAACCAGTGCTCCTAGGAGACATAGCTGATTCTGGCTCTGGGGCAAAGAAAGCCTTGGAATACCTTATGTCAGAAAACAAGCAGGGACTCAAAGATTGAAGATGTATCAAAAGGACATAGGAATTGTTTTGAAGGAATTCCCACTGGTCAAATCAATTGAGAAATCAAAAAGAACAATGATGATAATGATTTATAGCACATTTAACAATAATTTTTTTTTAAAAAAAGAACCCGTAAGATCATGATAATACTCACAAAATAAAAGCAATTTTATTTCCTCCATAGCACTAGTATCATTTTTGTTATGTTGGTCTTTCCTCCTTATTTTCTATTTAAGATCCTTCATCTGAGTTGGCAAATCCAACTGTACAGGGTGGGCAAAGGACATATTTTAATTGTAAGTTATATAAAAAGATGTAGGGGTTTTAGTCGATAGTTGAGTAGGCAGGGTTGATGTGACTGCTCCCAAAATTGATGATCTCGCAGACTGCACTCTTAGGAGTAAGGACTGCAGAGAAAGGAGGTGGTCTTTCCCCTTGTCTCCGGGTTTGGTAGACTTCACTGGAATACTGAAACTGATTTTTGGACACAGATAAATTGGTTGCTTGCCCACAGAAAACTGTCCAGCTTTACGCTGGAGGGAAGGGGGAAGTCAGGGGAGAGAGTGATAAGACAAGTTGTTGAAGAATGGCTGAAACAAATTGAAATGATACTGGGGATGGCGATTGTAACTTTATTTATGGAGTAAACACCAAGATTTAGACACAGTACCGATTCCCACTAGTCCCTTTATATACATTATGTTACTTGTGCATCTCAATGACACTCTAAGAAAGGCAACAGGGACCCTAGCTCAGAGAGTTAGGTGGGCTCCCTATGGTCACACACATACTAAATAGCTGAGCTGGGATCTGACCCACATCTGTCCACATCCAATATCTGTGCTTCTGCCTTTGACCTAAATGTAGAGTTAGGTAATGAGGGGTGTACATTCCAGCTCTGCCCATGTAGGATGTTGGATAAATTACTCTCCTTCTCTGAACCTCAGTTTCTTCAACCTTGTCTCAGAACCTGGGCACTCTCCTGGTTCCCTTCCTATTTTCCCAGTCCCCTGCCCCATCCCCACCAGGGCTACTGGCCTTTTCTAATGAAAATCCATTAGTCTCTTCCTCACCTACACTACAGCCCCAATCAGCACAACAAAAGGCAGGTGCCAAGAAAGAGAAAGCCTGAAACTTTAAAGTTTAACATCTCTTTCATGGCTGCCTTCAGGGTCTTAAAGAGGATCAAATTAGATAGTTTGGGGAAGAAGCTCTGGGTTAGTCAAGTGTTTGGTTGGTTTATCAAACATCCCATACGTGCAGAAAAGTTCAAAGAAACATACATAACAGACACAGCTTACCCACCCCCTGTATTTGACAATATTCATATTTTGCCATATTTGCTTCAGATTATTTTTTAATTAAAACATTCAGTGGAAGATTCCATAAAAGTCCTCTTTACAAACTTTCCCTATCTCCTCCCCAGAAGTAATTATCACCGTCTAGCAGCATGTATTACTCCTGACCAGATCTTTCTGGTAGAGAAATAGAGTTAATTTTAAACATGTGGCATTGTTTTGAATGATTTTTACACGTACATAAATGATATCCTGTCTGCCTTTCTGCAGCTTGCTCTTTTTTACGCAATGATATGTTCCAGCGAGTTAGCCACGTTGCTGAGTGCAGCTCTAATTTATTCCGTCCGCTGCTATTTCGTGTTCCATCTACAAATGGCCCATTTATTTATCCATTCCCTTATTAATGTACGGTTAAATTGTTTCCAATATTTCACTATTATATAAAATGCTGACACTGAACATCATTGCACATCTCCTTCCGCACATATGCAAACGTTTCAATAAGGTTTTACCTCATTGAGGAAGCCCTGGTTCCGTGGCTCTGTTCATATCAACTCCTATTAAGTATTGCCAGTTGCTCCCCAAACTGACTTTACCAATTTACAGTCCCACCGGCATGGTATGGTAGTTCCCGTTTCTCCTTATTTTCATCAACACTTGGGTTTCTCTGCCTATTATTTTTGCCTGTCTGACAGACAGGCAGTGGTATCTTAGTGGACTCATTTGAATTTCCCCAACAGCTAGTAATGACAAGCATCTTTTCATGTGATTATTGGCTATTTGAATTGCCTGTTTATAATCTGTCGATTTTTCCATTGGGTTGTCTTTTTCTTATTGACTTGTATGAATTATTTATATATCCTGGATAATAATCTTTTAAAACTTGAACGTGTTGTAAATATTGGGACAAGCTTTGTAAACTTCAAAGCAGCACAAAAAACTTTGGTTTTTATTAGTGTTCATTTTACTCTTACACATGTCTTATCGCCTAAACCAGAGCCCCCAGAGGACAGAGAATGTGGCTTCCTTATGTTTATTTATCCAGAGTGAGTGTTAATAGAAAGCAGCCTGGAATTATGGGGGAAAATTATGCTTTAAAAATAGAAATGGAGTTAATTTTGCCGCTGCCACTGAATAGCTACATAAGCCTGTTCAAGCCACTTAATCTAAGTCTGTTTCCTTTCTTCTGAAATGAGAACATATTACAAGGTTGTTGTGAAGAATAACATAAGATAATGCATGTAAAAGTGCTTGGTTTGGGGCATGGCATATACTAGATACTCAATAGATATGAGCTGAACAGAAATATTGATAAACATTTGTTGGTAGTTAACTTAATTCTTCAATGATTGCATAACGATAGCTTCAATTTATTGGCTATTTCTTATGTGCAAGATGCTATTCTACATAAACAACTATTCTTTATTGTATTTATCCCTTTTTTACAGATGAAGAATCTGAGACTAAGAAAGATTAAGTAATGTGGACAGTTTTAAAACTTGTAAATGGTGGCATTAAGCTGCAAAGATTGATCTTATTCTTGTCACAAAATTTATTCATTCATCCAACAATGGTTATTGAATGTCTACTATGTACCGGGTGCTCTACTAGGCGCTGGGCTACATTGGTTAACAAGATGAACAGAGTTCCTACCCTCGAGGGGCTTATATTTTACTAAAGGGCCAAAACAGCAAGCAAATAGGCAAATAAATTGCGACATGTCATGAAATAAATGCACGGCTAAGATAGAATATAGCAAAGAGCTTGGAGGCTCTCTTTTAGGAAAGTGATCAAGGAAGCCTTCGCCAAGGAACGACAATTGATGGCAAAATGAAATATTGACAATTGATGGCAAAATGAGAAATAACAGTGGCTCATTTCAAGCGGAGGCAACAATAGGCAAGTCCAGTTCCAGTCTATATTCTGAACTAATGAAACTATTTTGTTATTCCATATCTCCCACTTGTGGCTCCTGCTTACTCTTAACCCATGTCAAGGAAGAAAATACTGTGAGCCCCAAGCAGCTGGGAAAGCCATCGTTCTACCTGAGCCCAGATCACCCCCAGCTGGGCAGTGGCCATCTGGACAGCCTCCAGATGTAGCCACTCTCCTCCTACGAACTTCCCTTCCAGGCCACTGTTCCATCTCCCAGGCCCCACGCCTGTGAACTTGGCCAGATCGGCCTGGCTTTGTTTCGCAGGTAAAAACTTTTCACCCCAGCACCCCCCCACACACCATCAACAGGGTGCACATTTGCAGATTGGTCTGTGTGTGCATAAGCTGAGAACCCCAGAGGATTGATTCAAGTCTGGAAGGGTGCCAGGTTTTCATTAAACCCCTTATAAACCAGCACTGCAGTTCTACAGGGCCACATCTGCCGAGGAAGCCATCTGTGATTCATATCGTCGTGCTCCAACAAAACGCCAGCAGTGTGAAAAACTCTCCCCTCTGCTCCGCAGTGAACTGGAAAAGTAACATTAGTAATCACTTTTGCAGGCTCCATAATGACATAATGGGCATTGGCTTAAGTCTTAAACCGAGGCTGATAGTCCCTGCCAACAATCTGGGTGGACCCAAGCTGTCCTAAAAAATATAGGTCATCATTCATGCCCACTTCTTGACCTAACAGAATATATAGTAGATAATAAATTTGCACTTTGAAATACAGGGAGAAAAAGTAACTAACGTTTAATGAGTGTCTGCCAAGCATCAAACACTTTACAACCATGACAACCTTAAAAAGCAGGCATTGTTATACTCATTTTACAGATGGGGGTCCTGAGGTTAGAGATGTTAGATGGCTTACCCAAAGCCACACAGATCTGTGGCATGGCTGAAAGTCAAACTCATATCTCACCAACTCTGAAGCCTGTGAGCTTTCCACTACCCGGGAAGGAGAAGCCCGAGGATGGCATGCAAACTAAGTGTTTGGTGGCTCGTTTGGATTTGTCCACGACTACAATCTAAGAGTGCATTAAAAATTAAATGAGGTGGGACAGATAGGACATCTTCCACATCTTCCACCTGTAGCAGCCTGGACCTAAATAAAACCACTACACAATGGGAACTGCACATGGGTTTGCTTAAATTCATAATATTCACTTTTAGATGAACTGAAAATAGCTCTCTTCCCTGCTTCATTCCTGCTTCCTCCTCCCCAAACCCAATCCATTCTGCCAAAAAAAAAAAAAAAGATACCACCTGCTCCTGATGCCTGAGTTCACATCCAAAAATAGAACCAGCCAGCCAGTGTCCAATTCACTAAGAGCACCTTCCAAAAGCATGCTCGCCTACATTGTCTCTTGAGGACCTTTGGTGGTCCCAAGCAGTCTTAAGCTGAAAGTCCTTTTTCTTCTGAAACTACCAGATCTCTCTGGGGGCCTATACAGGACCAAAGGATGGGCTTTTTAAAAAAAGAGGATGCAACAGCTGCCATCAGGAGACACATAGACTAAGACTCAGAGTAGGAGAAAAAAGACCTAGCTTTAGGACCAAGCAGGCTAAGGTTTGAGTCTTGATTTTGATGCCAAATCACTGTGAGATCTCAGACAAATGGTCACCTTTCTGGGCATTCTGATATGGAAAATGCATCTAAGGATACCTCCCCTACAGGATTACTGCGAGGAACTGAGAAGACAGTACATCAAGACACAGGTTCATGGTAGATTGTGATAAAAGTTAATTTGCTTTCCTTACCTTTCACATTTATCTCATCTTTGGCTAAAGCTTCAAAGAAAGATTCCAAACACAGTCAAAAGAGTTGATAGTTTTCTTTTGGAAGGATAGTTTTTGATATTTCAGATGTTGCTGGAGTGTCCAAAAGTTGAACTCTCAGCAGCTTTTCTTCTTCCCTCATATAAATACCCAGAAATAATTTCCTGATCCACGTTCCATTGAAGCCAAAGAGCACCTGGACGAAGGGAATCAAATCACGTTTAAATCACTTAGTGGAACTTACCCCCCTTTTATAGATTGCCAGATTAGTCAAAGGTTTAGCCTTTTAAAAATAAAATAAAGGGGGGAGGTGAGGGAAACAAAGTGCTGACAGTGAAGGAACCCTGTTGCTGTAGGAGAGCCGTAGGCTTGACTAAGATTCACACAATGTGATCATCATGTCCATATATACCCACAGTGTAGTCTTCACAGACAGAGACCGGCTGGATGTCCAGCTCTATCACTTGAGCAAATTGTTCTATTTCTCTAAACTTCAGTTTCCTGCAGTGGAGACCAGAGATGATAAAAACGACCTTGCAGGGTGATTAGGGGATTACTAATTAAATCCATACAGCTACTAGGCACGGTGCCTGGTAGAGAGCAGGTGCTTAATAAATGGCTGTGTTATTACTTACAAGACACTCCTTTGATAGCCACAACAGCCCTGTAAGGTAAGAATCACTTATCCCATTTCTTTTAGATGAGGAAATGGAGATTCAGAAAAACAAAACATCACCTTCAAGACCCCACAGCCTTGGCTTGCACAGAGAGGCTCTGCACGCAGATTTATTTGACTGCAAAGCCTGTTTTCCTTCCAGCTCTCACATCACTGCCATGTGAGTTCCTGCAGACGCAGAGAGGCAAAGGGGATTTTAAGCACATTTCGTCTCCATCTGAGTTGCTTCCTCTCCTCTGGCTCATTTGTTCCTGTCTCTGCAGCCCTAGCCTGGGGCCTCCCCTCTGCTGCCAGCCTCCCCCTACCGGACCCTTGCTGCCAACTAAGGCTCCCTCCCAGCCAAAAAGGCATTTGGGGAACCACATCCTCTCCCCTCCCCTACCTACCATGTGCCTTTGAAGTGAGCCTGTCATCTGACCGGTACCTGCTCAGGCTTCGCATCCGAGACTCCTTCCCTACGTGGACCCTGGGTTCCTCCCACATAGAGTGCAGACACGAGATAAGCCCGCCTTATTTTTCTCTGTGCTCAATTTCAATCCATCCTGAATTTCCTAAGCACCTACTCTGTGCCAGACACTAGGCTTGGCTCTGGAAAGAGAGAAATGAGTAAAAAACATAGGCTCTGCTTTCAAAGAAACCATGGAATATGACAAAATCCAATTTGGTTCAGTTTAAACAATTGCTGAGCACCTACCATATGCCAGATCCCGAGCTGGGCGCTAGGGAATACTCAAATAACGAGGACGCCAGTCCCCCAGGAAGAGCTAGCAGTCAGCTGGAACAGTGCTCTGATCGGTATACTAATACCTGCCAGAGATCCATAGCCTACTCTGGGTTCCACACTGTGCTTTACAGATGTCCTCTCTATTCCTCAATATAAAATAACTTTTGAGATAAAAGTTTGTTTGAAAGGGCAGAAAAATTCCTCTGTCCAAACCCAATCATGATGATGAGGACTCTAGACTTCGGGTCTGCTTTTTGTCTCAAATGTTGCTGGTTTCTTGGCAGGGTGGTAGCAGATCCATTTTCCTATTATTACCTCACATTTGAATGGTGTGCAAGGATTTTCCAAAGCATATTCCCTCCATTATCTCATCTGAGCATCAGCATCCCCGTCCCGAGTAGTGGCGCTCTCTGGGAGGCCCAGAGAGGGTCACGAGTTAGGGGAAAGGAAGGTGAGCAGCACCAGACCCTGTAAAGCCATGTAACCCTCACATTCACCCTGAAAAGAAGGTAACATATTTTCCTCCCCCTGTTTTATATTTTAGGACACTGAGACTCAGAGCTGCTCTTCCAGGTTCACAGAGCTATTCGAAAGAAATCCTGGGTTTGCACTCGGGTCCTGCAGCAGCCTAGGCCTCTGGTAGCCAGGTTGGCCCTCACCACCGAGCTGGGGCTTCGAGCACGGCCTCGTGGGAGCTCAGTACAGGACTTTGCCCATCTGACTTTGCCCATCTGACTTTGGGAGACTCACCAAGCCTCCCTGGGCCTCAGTTTCTCATTTGCCGAGAGGCGATGCTAACCTCTGCTGTCTGCATCATCGGTTCCGTGAAGGGCTGTTGAGACGTGACCAGGAAGTCTTTGGAGAAGTCACAAGTGTGCGAGATTGTCATTAGTGATGGGTCTGCTGACATGTTACTGTGGAACCAGAGGTCCAGGAGACAAAAACAGACAGGCCACCACCCCCTCCAGGAACCCTGCCCAGGCAACAGGACCTTCTCCTTCAAGGGGTCCCAGCAAGGCCCGTCCGTCCCAGAGCCAGACGCCCTGCCCTGGTGACTTATCTGCCTTTACCTCTTGAGCCCGGCTCAACTTGCAGACCCGGGGGGAGGGGCGTTCACAGGAGCAGACGGGTCTGGTCCCAGGGTGATGGCGTCCATGCCAAGATCCCACTTTGTTTTAATGAATGACACCAGACACTTAGGCCATAAACTCTTCAGGTTGGCATGTCTGGCAGTAATTACATGCCTCCCATTAATAAATCCTGTTTCTGAATGGTTTACTGCACCCCTTTCTTCAAACACTGCAGGCTGAAACCTGTCAGATGGAGCCAGAGGCAGACTCCGAAGAGGAGGCAAGTGAAGTGGTGGCTCTCTGGGCACGAAAGGGCAACAGCCGTGGGGACAGAGTGAGCAGCAGGCTGACCTCCAGCCCCCGGTGGGGAGGGGGCTGTGACTCCCACCTCCCACCCAATCAGTCTGACTCCTGCAGATTCTGACCCCCAAATTGACCCCGAAGCCACCTCTACCAACACTGACTTGGATCAAAATCCATCAATCCCACCTGGAATGTAGTGACAGCATGTCATCCTGTCCCTCTTCCACGTGCTGCCAGAGAGCTCCTGCAGCATGACGGTAGACCACGTCACGCTCCTGGGTAACAACTGCACAGCGGTCCCCAGCACTCCAGGACAAGCTCCGCCCCAGTCAAGGCTTTGAGGATTTGAATCCTGCTAGCAGCCCTAGCTCATGTCCCAGAAATTCCCATCCCGCTCTGCTCTACCACAGTGGCCCTCACAGCGCCGAGCTTGGACCAGCAGCATCAGCATCACCTGGGAGCTTCAGAGAAATGCACATTCCCAGCCCCCCAGAGCTACTGATTCAGAAACTCCGAGGTGGGGCCCCATGATCTGTTTCTTAATGAACCCTGCAGGCGATTTGATGTATGCTACAGTTTAAAAAACACTTCTTTGCCCAGTTTTCTTAAACTTCAATGTGCATAGGAACCGCCTGAGGATCTAGTTAAAATGTAGATTCTGATTGAGTTGGTCCAGGGTAGAGCTCAAGATTCTGCTGTTCCAGCAAGTTCCATGGCGATGTCAGTGCTGTAGGTCCACACACCAAACCCTGAGTAGCAAAGCTCTGGACAGCAGTGAATTACAAACCCCTTGCCATTTCCCAAGCACACATGCTTCATGCATTTGTGACTTGTGTTCCCTCCACCTTCCTTAGTTTTCTTTTCCTCCCTTCTCTCCTCCCTAATGCATCAAACAATTCTACTCATCTACCGGAAATCAGCATAAAGAGCCCCTGCACTCAGAAGATGTCCCTAACCCCCAGGTGGATGAAAGCCCTCCTTTCCCTCTGCTGCCACATGACTGCACACCCCCCCCATCGGAGCACTGGTTATGTCACACTATTTGTCTGTCTGTCTGTCTGTGCCTCCTCATCTACAAGGAACAGGACCATCACTACCTCTTGCATGTCTGTAACCATGGCACCAACACAGTGCCTGGCACATTGCAGGGGAACAATGGACAGTGAGTGAATGAATGAATGAGTCAGTGAATGAATGAAGCCTTAACAACCAGTTCTGTGGGTGTGTAGAGTAGTAAACAAAATATTTGGGAGTGGAGCTCTGCCTTCACCAGCATCCTGATTTCTCCTGTGACACCTTAATTAACTGCTAAGTTGCTTTTAAAGCAGGCAACGGCACACTCTGTTTTCTAAACCAAACCGACTGCCTAATCCTGGAAGACACAAAACAGAGAGATGACCTCCCTGAACCAGGAACCCCAGGGAAAACCTCCAAGAGGGAATGTCCAAACAGCAGGTATACACATATGGGTTTCTCAGATAGGAAGACTTCACACAGAGACATTTCACAAAGCAATTTCCTTTATTTATTAAGGCAGGTACTCCCTCCACAAACATCCATCAGGTGCTGTGTGACAAACACTGTTAAGAAGTGGGGACAGAGGATTAAATGGATCTCTACTTTGCTCCCAATGGGTCAGTCTAGTGGGAGGAAGTAGATATGGAAACATCAGGACCGTGCAGAGCGGCAAAAGCTACCATCCAGGTGAGCACAGATCATGAGCAGACGATTTTAGTTTTGCCAGGAGAGGCAGGGACAAGCACCAAAGAGAAGATGATATTTGAACTGAGTCTCGAAAGATGAGTTAGTTTTCCAGGAGGAAAATGGGGAGGAAGGATGTTTCAGGTAAGGGAAGGACAGGAGCAAAGGAGTGTGTTCGGAAGATTGCTGCACACCGGGGAGCAGCCAGCCGGCCTCTGACCGAGCTGGGAGCGCGTGCCCTGGGGCCGTGCTGGGAGGTTGAGCAGAGCCAGAGCAGCCCTTTAGCAAACACTCACTGAGTGTCCGCTGTGTGCTTGGCACCGCGTGGGCCCTGGACATACAGCCAGCAGTAAATAACACCCAAACGGTTTCTGCTCTTCTGGAGTGTAAGTTTACAGTCTGGCAGGGGTGGCGGGAAAACACAAACAAAAAAACACATAAATAAAACATTTGCACTTGTAAGGTACCAGGAGCTGAGAGCTTTCACTTTAGGTAAAGTGGCCAGGGGAGGCTCTCAGAGGCAAACTTGATCAGAGGAAGAGGCGAGAGAAGGGGCATCCGAGCAGAGAGAAAAGATCGGGCACACCCTGAGGAAGGCTGGAGCATGGCACACTCGGGAAACCAAAAGTGGATGAAATCAGTGAGTGAAAGGACAATGACACCTTTGACAAGAAGCGCTTGGAAAGGTAGACAGGCCCTGACAGCCTGTGGGGGTGTCTTTA